TATATATATATATACAAAAACAGTACAATAAAAGTTTTGTTTAAAACTACTGTACATGCTACAATCATGGAAAACGTGACAGCAGTGAGGGAAGCAGACGTACTTGGACATTTTATAGGAGCTATGTTTACGCCTCTTGCTTTTTCACCGCCCTGTTGAACAGACTTTCACGAAAAGGATTTTGGGAAATGTAGTTCTGACTACTTGTACACCAGGAGGGAGAACTTGAAACGACACAAGGCCGCTAAATGCATTTCCCACAATGCATCGCGTTGTTGTTAGCTGCCCCATCTTGTGTCTTCCTCATGAATATATATCAGCCAGGATTTGCGTAGGAGGTCGGTCGACGTTCATTTCATATCCGAGTACTGTATTTTTGGGGACGAGCAGCACCGTCACGTCTCCGCCCTGATCTGCCCCTCGGCGCCCAGCCTCCTCTCGGCGAATTTAACCAGTAAAATGTTTTTTTGGAGCAGCGGGGGACACTTCGACAGGGACAAGAAGGCGAGAAGTGAATGACAACTAGAGGGACAACTAAGCTTCGCCACCCAGTTGGCGGACATTTATCACGGTGGGCACGTAAATGCTTTTAAATGTAGAGGTTTTAGGAATAACCAACTGCGCACCGATATTTATTAAGAGTAGGGGGGAGACTTCCCTCGTCGGCAGAGATGGAAAGTCTGCAGGCTGTCGCTGAGGATGGAGCGTCGGATGGAGGCGCGACCAAGTTAATGAAGAAGCCCAGCGGACTGTTCGTCGCCCGGGGGACTCCCGCGGACGGCGGCGGTGGACGGTTGGCACCCTCCAGCGCAGAGGCGAAGAACGGGATTCGCCTCTCTCATTCCGCCTCCATGCCGGGCTCTAGCGCGTCAAACCGAACCGCGGCGTCTAATGGCCGGGGCTCGTCCGGCAACTCCAGCTCCCTCCTGTTGAGACGGCGGCGCTTGAAGAGGAACCTCTCCGCCGCAGCTGCAGCAGCACCCACCGCCACCTCGGCTGTCACCGCCGCCCGCGGCGCGAAGATGAGCTCGGCCCTGTCCTCCGCGTCTCTGCACACCCGGAGTCTGGATCGGAAGACCCTGCTGAAGCACCGACAGAGCGTGCAGCTGCAGTCCGCGGACCGCGAGTGGGTGAGAGCCGACCTCCACCGGGGCTGCGTGCATGTCCACGACAGACTGACGCCGTCGTATCCCAGGCCGGTCCTTTGCACTATGGACACCACCGCCGGCGAGGTGGCGCTCCGACTGAGTAAACTCAGCAGCAAGTCCAGCTCCGTCGTGCGCATTTTTTGTAAAGATAGCTCCAAGACTGACCAAAATGGCAACTGCAACGTGACATATGAATACAACGACAATCCCTGCCAAGCGAAAGAGGACTCGAGTATACAACGCAGCCACCTGACCTCCTTGGAATCAGCAGAATTAAGGGGTCATTCCGGTGACAGATTGAGGCTCCTGCTCATGGAGAACGCAGATGACATGCAAAAGCAACAGGAAGTTGATGAGAAACTTTTCTCTCCAGAGTCAGAGTCACAGGACAACATCACCTGCTCTCTGTCAGACTTCACCTCTAACATGGACACCCCCAACGATGATGACTCGGAGCATAGGAATGGCCTGGACAGCTATGGATTAAATTCTGGCTCAGACGTGGAGAGCAGTGCATTTGATGACCTGAGCTCTGGGGCCCGGCTCAGTGAGCACAGAGACTCTCTGAGCGATGACATGATCCTGGGGACAGAAGCGTCCATCCTCAGCCCCTCGTTTGACAGTGCCACCGAAGGTCATGACATGTATGGAAGCTCTTCGGATGAGCTGGAGCTGGAGTGCTCTATGTCCAGCACAGCCGTGGACCCCCAGCGCCACGCCAATGGCATCGCTGCTGTCACTGCCAACTACAACATGGGACATTTAAACGACATGACACAAGATGTGGGACCAGGTAGCAGACTCGCCACTCACAGCCTGGGCAGCCTGCCTTCCAGCAACAGTGCCAGCTCATTGTCCAGAGTCTGTTCTAAAGTTAATTCACCCGATATCCAAAATCCTGACTGCGGTCAAGGTGCTGTCAAACTCGGACTGCCAGAAAACCAAAATGGAGAGTCTTGTGATTCCAGCCCTATGCTCTATGTTCAGCTTCATGGTGAAGCTGTAAGGCGGCTTAGCCCAGATGAGAGGCCTCTGCAGATTCAGAATGACTTTCTCTTTAAGCTTGGATTTAAGGACCCTTGGAGAGTTCAAGAAGAAGGGCTTAACACAGAAATTGGCTCCTTGTTACGTTTTTATGCAGGTAAACTTAAAAAAAAACTTCTTTGGATCACCTATGATTCATCTTTCTGATCATCTTGTAACATGTTGAAGTAGTTTTTTTTTTAGCTTAATCGATTTAAAGGTTCAACTTTTTAAAGTAGAGTTAATAACATGTTGCAGAACTGTATCAGAGCGAGACAGGGGCTTTGATTCAGGTGTGTAATGTGACATTTATAGAACTAATATAAAAAAATAACTCATTTTGTTTAGATGGGGTGATACATTCTCACAGAAGATGAGCTTGTCCTTTTAATGGTTGTTTCACAAGAGCAATACTGCAGTGCAATTTAGGGAGTTAATATTTAAGATATGCTTGACTGAACCTGCTTTTTATTTATGGTTGCTGTGTTCAATTTTTAACTGCGGTGACATTGAGTGGGATCGTGATCCAGAGGCTGTTAGTACTGGCACAAAACCTACCTTGCCTTAAGGATGCCGTTTAGTTAGTTAATTTATTTATTTTTTATGTCTTTCGGCTTTTAATTGTCTTTATTGGCCCGTGGCAGCACACACTTTGTTCCCAGGGGCATCCGTGACATTGGCACAAAGCATTCACCACAACTTATAGTGCACAAACGTGGGGGCCCTTTCCGGCTTTTGGCCCATTATCATCAAAAAAAAAAAGTTTGAATGCGATTGTGATTGGATAGAGAACAGGGGAGGGAGCAGTATGGCTGGAAGAAGCACAAACCCTCTCTCTGGACTCGGTGGGTTTTGGTCATTGAGATGCTACACAGTGGCTGTCCCATTGGCATCCAGCACAGCTACTGTCACACTAACTGCCTGCCAAGCTGGGTTAATGTGCATCTCCAAAGCTCAGGCAGCCCCTTTCTTCACCAGTGCCTCTGTCTTCATCACTGCTGCTGTAGGAAGTAAAATTAAGTATTGTTATTAAACATTTAAGTGTAGTAAGGGTGTTTGATTTGCACCTGTTGGTATGTGAGAAACTTGCTACTGAGTTTACAAGAAGCTGAAAATGAATACAATCTGTTGTGCTCTTTAAGGACAGGCTTTCTGGAGGTTAGGGCTGTGACTTGTGCTACTAGATAATACTGGAATGACTGTGTTTGATTAAATGTTATTTATAGATATCAGTGATATAATGAGGCAACACATTTTTCTTTTCAAAAAACAACTTGATACATATAACTTACTGAAAAATAAAATCCTGAGCAGCGTTGGCTCAAACAATCCAGTACCTGAAAACAATCTATTTCAGCGAGTAGTTTGGCTGCATGCAGACATTTACAGCACAGCACAATATTTTTTGCAAAATATGCCRGAGAGGTTTTACTGTGAAAGGCAGAAACAAGACAAACTTGCCTCATTTGAAATAAAAACACACAAGTGTACACACACTGAAACCACTTGAGGAAAAGACAAGCGGCCAGAAACACGAGGTCCAAAAGTAAATAAATGACTCAGTCAACCATTGCTGGCCTACACACTTGTTGTATTCCATYCAGTATGACAGCAAAGACTGATGCCTTTATGATTTGTTTGGCCAAGACTATCAGTATTTGTATTGTTGCATTTTTATTTGGTATTTGTACTGTAAATTGAATTAGGTGACAATATTGTGCTGAAGAGTTGCAAGTTTTAATGACTCATGTCATCCCCCTGAAATGCAATAATGTTTTTGCAGATGTGCATGTTCATTTGTAGCATTAGCAGAAGGAAAAAAAAAAAAGGTTGACTTAGAAATATTTTTTTTATATACAGTATGTTCTGCATATAAAACTGATTAACTTTTGGAGTCAACTCCATTCAAGATGGCTGCCACAATTAAGTGACCTTAATGAACACAAAATTGACAACCAGTTTTACAGTGACTGAGCTCAGATTTTGTATAGTAGCTGAGCATTATTGTCAACCCATGCTTTGGGCCCTACACATTATACTTTATTTCTATTAGATAATTATGTCCTACTTTTACAAAATGCTTTGCGATGTCTCATGTTGCACGGCATGGTTACTGCAGATGCCTTGTAGTAATAGATTTACTGTCATCATGCTCAGTAGGTCATAGGAGAAAAAGAAACTGGGTAATTCTCTTTGTTTGCACTAAAAATGCTTCTACCTGCAAGCTGCAGTAACAAATTAACGGATCAGTGCTCGTTTTATATTTTAAAATATCAGAAATTTGCCTGGGATATCATGGTATAATTTCAAAGTTATAACGCCCACGTCTGCTTGAGGTTTTTGCTCCAATGATTTAAGTTAAATGGCATCATATGGCGGGCTGTGTTAAGTGTTCACACTGGGGCTCATGTGGATGGATGTGCATTTAGAGGAGAAAAAAAATGAAATTACATGAGTCTGTGCAGTCAGCTGAGATGTTGCAGTAGCAGCTGCTAAAGGCATGCACGCACACAAAAAAAGCTGTGATGCCTTTCTTACGGCAATGCCTCTACATCCCATGTGAGACGGCTTAACGGCGGTCACCTGAGCTACTCTCCAGCTCTCCCACWGCCAAGAGCACCACTTAAACACCCTAGCTGCAGTCTCCACAAGCCACATGTGTGACAGGACAAAGAAGAACACTTCCACACACACACACAGACATGCCCTATACCGTGAAAGCTGTGCTAATGGCCTTGTGACAAGTCTGTGTGCTCCTCTGCTATTTCCTTATGCGATGGAAGAATGTGAGGAATGTACGCTGGCTCTTCGAAAATGTTAGGCACGTCTGCTGCGCAGGAAGTTGAGGAAGGGGGCTTGCAGGGGTAGGGTTAGTGTGCGGACACATGTTGAGCTGACTTTGGATGGTTTTACTGCACAGAAAGGGGAGAAAGCACCAGTCTCAGCTGACTGTCTGACACAGCTGCCGCAGCTCCGGCCCTCGGCCACTCTAAAGGCCTTTTTTGTCTGCGTAGCTGTGCACGCTGAGCAGCCTTTGATACAAAAAGTCCAACGTCCAAACCGTGCTTTATTGCTTAGTTGCTCAATAAAACAGAAATTTTAAACCCTACTGTAAGCTCGTCAGCAAGGCAGTACTCCGTAATAGACTGTTAATATTGGTGACAGATGAGGCGCTCAGCATGATCAGGCAAACAGGAACAATGATGTGAAGAGGCTGTTAAGTTGAGACGTTGCCATGTTGCATCGTGCCAGATCAACTGGCCTATCCAAAGACCAGTTTGACTTTGAAAGGGTCAGGTCAGGCTTTGAGCAAGCTGCAGCGACTAGATGAGAAAGCACACTTTGCCCCACACACACACATACACATGTACAGAAGGGCGCCCAGATCAAGGGGGCTGCTGTCCTCTTTGACAGGCTGATGAGGGATCCTTTCAGGACTGTTCACACAGGAGTCTCTTGTAATGGCTGGCTGGCCTTTATTAGAAGAGAAGAGAAGCATGTTAAAAGAAATGTATTCATTTTAAAAAATCTATACACAGTACAAACACAATCTGTTGCAGATAAGCACTAAAAGTTACAACTTAGACACAACTTAGTTTTTCAGAAGACTCTGGATTTTAGAGAGGATTTTTCGCTGTGTATTGAGTCACGGCTGTGGTTTAATCACCCATCTTTGAAAATAAATAAATAAATACAGGCTGCATGTTTTCACTGTGGTGAAAGGAGATCCTTAGCTCACAAAGTATTGAAGGCACCCCCTGCTTGGATGGTTGTATTCGTTTACCCAGAGGGAGCTTGTAAATTGCAAAAACAGAAATTATTTTTGCAATTTTACTTTAAGAACAATGCTTCTCCAGTTGCTGGTTTTTTTTTTAGATTGTGTTCAATTCTCTACTAAACATCAGTGCTATTTTAAAGAATAACTTGCTTCTAAACGAAAACAGTTTTTACAATAATGAAATAAATAGCATGAAACAAGTAGTTTTCAAAATGTAAAAAACTTCACATCCTAATTAAGTGCACTACTTGGTTTTACTTGTGATGTATTTCTGTTAATTGCATTTAGAGATTTTTATTTGGTCCAAAAGGTTTCTGTTTTTACGTGGAACCTAATGTCATTGGTAACTTGGGGAAATCTTAGGCAACCTAATTTCACCTATTTATAACCATGGAGGTATTATT